GGAGGGGGTGACAGAGATAGGGAGGGGGTGTAGGGACTGGAGGAGGTGACGGAGATAGGGAGGGGGTGTAGGGGCTGGAGGGGGTGACGGAGATAGGGAGGGGGTGTAGGGGGCTGGAGGAGGTGACAGAGATGGGGAGGGGTGCGATTATTGAGCAATCGTCAAGAGAAAACCTGCTTTTTCCACAAGGACGGGTCCCCCTTTGTCATGAGGTGGGGAGCTGAAGCAACGGGATATTGTACAATATCCTGTCTCTCCCGCTCTGTCTGCTTGTTGTTTCTCACTCGGTGTTTCCCTTTCTCCTCCCTCCAGAGTCGGAGCCCCCAGCCAACAACACCCACATCTCCCAGCTGCCCCCTGAGGTGCTGCTGAAAATCTTCGCCTACCTGAACCCTCTCGACTTGTGCCGCTCGCGCCAAGTCAACACCCGCTGGTCCCGGCTGGCAGGGACCGGTGCCCTCTGGAGACATCTTTACCCCATCAGCTGGGCCAGAGGTGGGTTCACGCAAAGGACGCACTATTCTGGGTCAGTGTTGGAGAGTCGGTGCTGTCGGAGGTTCTGCGCCGAGGGAGCGGCGCCGTCGGAGGGTCAGCACCGAGGGGAGCGGGCGCCGTCAGAGGGTCAGCGCTGAGGGAGCGGGAGCGGGCGCTGTCGGAGGGTCAGCGCTGAGGGAGCAGGCGTCGTCAAAGGGTCAACTTTGAGGGTTTTTGCGGCTGGTGATGGTTGGGTGAGGTTACAGACAAAACGAAGGCTAAGGGTGAGTCAGTGCACGACTGGCTAGGAATTGGGGTAGGGATGGGGCTCGGGAGGAGGTGACGGGGCAAGGTTTACGGTTGATGGATCGGACCAAGGAATGGCGCGATGTGTTTGGACCGATGATTGCAGCCCCTCGCGCTGCTCTGCGATGCCTTCCCTGGACACGCATCCTGCAAACCTGCAGCAGTGGGGGGACATCCGGCTGGTGTCTCTCTGCGCTGCCCTCTCCATCGGGTCTGGTAGCCTGGCGAGAGCCAGCGTTGTGTGTCACCGTCCTGTCCCTTTCATCAATGGTCCCTCGCAGAGTCTGTTCCACTGTCAGGGTGAGTGTGTCCGAACCTGTACAGACGGATGGGGCGACTGCAGGCTCTGGGCCAGGAGGCGGGTCACGGGAAGGGCTAGGTGCGGCGTTGGTGTGGCATCATGCCCGGCTCCAAAGTCCTCGACGCCTTCCTGGTCTCTCCTCCTCCGCTTTCAGATGGTCTCGATCTAGTCGTTCCCAAGTGTCTGTGGGAATTCTGCACTTTGCCAGCGAGGGTATCCCTGTAGCTATCCCGCCTGGATGGCCCACCCGCTGTTTCGGAGCTGGTGGGGGCAGAGCGCCCGCTTGGGGAGTCTCAGTTGGTCAATGTGGCGATGTCGAGGACGCCGATGTCGGTGTGTCTTTCTTCCCAGCGGATTTGCAGGCTCTCGCACGGGCAGCGCAGGCCGTACTGTGGCCACATTGGAGGCTGGGAGCGATCTCACTGTCCTCTCCCTCACCAGGTGATTGGTACAATGGGCCTCCTTGCAGTGTCAGCCTGGCACCAGAGTATCCCTGCGACACAGGGGTAGAGGATCAGTCCCAGGGATGGGATGAGGACGCCGATATTGATGAATCAGGTGAGCGACAGCACTGAATCCTTCCAGCTTTTATACCCATGGACATCCATCGTCCCACGTCAAACACTCGCAGGGACAGGGGGTTAGATACAGAGTAAAGCTCCCTCTACACTGTCCCCCATCAAACACTCCCAGGGACAGGGACAGCACGGGGTTAGATAC